TATTGCAATTTTTTCCAAATTCTAAGCTCCAGATAGGGAACTTGCTATATATCAGGAATGTCTGAAATTAGGGCCTCTCTCTTCTCATGAAAACCAGCCCAGCACTGACCCTGAAGCCCTGACAAAGAGCTCATCCCTGGATTCCCAGGTCTTCACATTTAATGATCAGCACTGAACAACACCCATACCATGGATTTCAGGATGATTTGGGTTTTCATTATTGGTTTGTTAAAAGGTAATTTATGGAGAAGAATAGGCACTGAGTATTTTTGTGGACATGAATGGTATAAATACTGACTTGTTTGCCAGTTGACCGGATCTCTGTGTCTGCAAGTGATGAGGGCGAGGTGCAGCTTGTGGAGTCAGAGGGTGACCTGGTGCTGGCTGGGGCATCTCTGAGACTCTCCTGTGCAGTCTCTGGATTCACCTTCAGTAGCTACTGAATGGGTTGGGTCTGCCAACCTCCAGGCAAAAATTAATGGAGATGGCAGTACCACAAAGCCTGCAGTATCTTTGCAGGATCAATTCAGCATCTCCAGAGACAATGCCAAGAGCACTCTGTACCTGCAAATGAACAGTGTGAAGTCTGAGGACACGACCACTTATTACTGTGCTAGACACACAGTGAGGGGATCTTAGTGTGAACCCAGACATAAACCTCACTGCGAGGCCGCTTTCAGTCACCAAAGGGAGGATAGCACACACAGAACAAAGTTCAGTCCAGCAGACCATGCAGACATGATCCTCTGTGGTGTCTAGATTGCATTTTTTTCAAACAAGTATACCCTGAATATCTGACGTCCTCAAAACATTGTATTTTTTATACAATATTTAAATATATAAGGCACACTCCCCCATGAACAAAATGCAAACTGGCATCTATGAGAACAAAAAGGACCCTGACATAGTCACTGAAGTCACATGATGAGGAAGTTGTTGGACACTCCCAGGTCTTTTCATATCTTAGGAAGAGCCTTGGTCAGATTTCTTGAATAGAATGCTCATGGATTTGTGTTTATGGGAAAACCAGGATGAAAGAAGAGCCAAGATTTTTAGACCACAAATTGTAGCAGGTCTGGAACCTCCTCTCTCCTCCACTCCTGGAGACTGTGCACAACAGGTTCAGATCTGCCCAGCTCTGTGTTTCTGAACCAAAGCTTCTCAATGCCATTGTCTATCTTGAGTCTATATCATGTGCAGAAATCTATGAGCTGACATTATTCTGGTCTGCTTGACTCTTGTTGCTAAACACTGAGACCAACAATGTTCTCCCATGAAATCCCAGAACTCAGCTGGGTCATCTATAGATCTGGACCTGGAGTCCATTCAAATTTGAATTAGTAAATTAACAGATATAAGAGCCGCAGGTTCAATTGACCTGTCAGCATGTCAGTCAACAATCAAACAGTGAAGGCTGCACACAAAGCAATCCAGTGTCTTTAATTGTAATTAAATATATTGACTGAGAAATCAAACAGATATTCATCTTGTATGTTTACTTTTATAGCCTATAGAAAAGGAAAACCTGACATAAGTACACCTGGTAAAAATAGAACCTACAACTGCCTGGGATAGGCATTAACGGGATTGAGAAACAAAAGACAAGTGGATGTGTGACCGAAGTGAGCCCATCCTTCTGGGAGGCTGTGCAGGTCACTTGGAGGACTTGTTTCCTGGCTGGGGGACCAGACTCCAGCATCACAAGGCTCAAACAGAATCAATCCATGGAGTCAGGGTACTATGACATTTTTTTTAATCTGAGAAATTAAGGGAAAATACATAGACACTGTTTTTATAGTTTCTTTCTTCATTCTTTTCCTGTATTCTTTCTTCTGAGTTCTATAATCTCTTTTCTCATCTCTATTCAGAATGTCCCTTCTTGCTCTGTTGATTTTTTCCTCCTCCTGATCCTTATTTTTCCTTAAGCCTCCAGGCACTGGCAAAATCTTTCAATCAATATAAAAATTACATTGTGGTTACATTAATTTTTTCAAGGAATGATTACAGTGAACATAAGTAAAAAAGAAGAGCATATTTCCCATATCCCTTACATGATTAAGCATTTTACACATTTCAGGTGAAAAAGAAGTTGTAGATGGAACCCATGAACATCCATACCCAAGCAAGTTCTTGGAGATTAACAGTGAAAGCAAGAAAGGTATTCTTTTCAACCAGTTCTTTTACTGCCAGGCTGCGTTTTGTGGCTACAAAGAAAGGACCAATCATTATATTCTTAACCTTGGAACGCGATTTTCTTAGAAATCTCAAAGCAAACATAAACCTAAAATTTTATATATGGAAAACAACAGCTCTAGTTTAAATCTCTAAATTTCATACCCACTTGTTAACAGGTTTTTTATATCAGGAGATTGAGGGTAGAAATTGGTACAAGGCATTAGCCATCATCTTTAATCATCAACCAATCCTTAGCATAAAAGCATGTTAGTTAATAATAATGGGGCTGCTTTGTATCTGTGATCCTACCCTAAAGAATCTGTAACACAACTATGTGTCCTCGTGAACTTCAGATTATTTTATGGGACATTTCATCTCAAAGCTATTATCAAATCTTCTAATTCAACCAGAAGTTGTTTTCAGGATTGGTTGCAGCTATGATGCACACCAAAACCTGTGAATGTGTCTTTCAACATTTACCTGAATGGCAGTCTAAGCAACTGTAGGGGTAAAACTCAGAGGCCCTACTCTGTGACACTTCAAGTATCTATTTTTAATCATCAAAACTCTATTTAAACTAACTCTATTATTATCAGTAAGGCAGCACACCTTAAGATAAATCATCTTTATACTACTCCACAGGAAAAAATGCCAAATAGAACAGGGTGCTTCCACAAGATACACACACTACAACACAGTTATTGGGGATCTCCGCACACCCATTCACACCACATAAGAGTCCAGAGAAAGATGGCAGCTGCAAACAAGTAAAGGAACAATGGAAATAAAAGACATTCTGGAGTCTGTGGTCTCAGTTTTTGCCAAGCAGGGATTCACCCACCAGAAATTCACTTCCTGGTGAGCTGACACCTGAACTTCGATTGCCCCCTGCTGCTCCTCTGACAGGGCCACCTGCAGACACAGAAGTCAAAGCTCAGCTCTCCTTGAAATTCAGCTTCTCAGTCACTCCCATTCCTAGGCACCAATAGGTAAACGTGCAGCAAAGGAAAACTGAATAAGATGATAAAACAAGAAATACACCCTGTCTGGAAAAGCTCATGCAGGTGATTAGCTGAACACTGGGATTCAGGCATGTCACATGACCCCCATACAGAAATGGAGTTTCCCAACCTCAGGAAGCTGCTGCTCACAAAGCTATAGCTCTGTAGGGAGTTTATGTTCATCAAGGATGAGGTCCACACAGCAGTGCCAACTCCTAGAGAAATGAGAATGACAAAGCAACCTCACTGATGTTTGTAATCACAGACATGGAGAATTGAGTTGACATTCATTAACATCAAAATGAGTCTTTTGTTTGTTAAAGGGATAAAATGAGATGATTGAAAATGATGTAATTTAATATCATCTCCCCCAACATTAACATCATGATATGATTTCTCCAGCACATTCAGGAATAATCCAGGCCCTGCCATCTCCAGGCTCCACTACAGAGCTTGCTATAAAGCAGGAAGACATGCAAATGGGCCCTCTCTCTGCTCATGAAAAGCAGCCCAGCCCTGAACTTGCAGCTTAGGCAGAGGAGCTCAGCTGTGGATCCGAAGTCCTAACTCAGGGATCAGCATGGAGTTGGGGCTGAGCTGGATTTTCCTTGTTGCTCTTTTAAAGGTAATTTATGGAGAGCAGTAGATGCTGACTGTGTGAGTGGACATTAATCTGAGAGACAATAGACATGTGTGATGATTTCTTGACCAGGATTTTTTGTGTGTTTTCAGGTGTTCAGTGTGAAGTGAAGCTGGTGGAGTCTGGAGGTGGCCTGGTGAAGCCTGGGGGGTCCCTGAAACTCTCCTGTGTAGCCTCTGGATTCACCTTCAGTGATCACTACATGAACTGGGTCCGCCAGGCTCCAGGGAAGGGGCTGGAGTGGGTTGGAGATATTAACTATGATGGCAGTACCACAAGGTATGCACCATCCGTGAAGGGCCGGTTCACCATCTCCAGAGACAATGCCAAGTACACTCTGTACCTGCAAATGAACAGTGTGAAGTCTGAGGACACCGCAACTTATTACTGTGCTAGAGACACAGTGAGTGATCTCAGTGTGAACCCAGACATAAACTCACTGTGAGGCCGCTCACGGCCACCAGGGGGCGCACAGCACACACAGAACACACATTCATCCCTGGAGACTACAAAAGCAAAACTGCACTCTTATCAGCAGCTTAGGCTCCTTTCATCTTTCAGTTCCCATAAAGTCTCTGTAAATAGTTGTGCTGTGGGTTACTGGTGTCCTCAATGTATCTCCTGTCTTTCTGCTGTTATTTAAGAAAGGTGACTGAGTCTCAGATGAAAAAAGTGTCAGGTATGAGTGTAAAAACACCTCCACCTACATCACTGAAATCATAGGAGGAAGTTCATGGGTGTTCATTCCTCTTTTTTAAAAATCATATTCAAGCAAATCCTTGGTCAGATATCTTTATTAGAGTATCTATTATATTGAAGGGACAATCAAGAGGACGATGGGGCCTAAATATCAGTGCATAATCCCTACCAAGGCCCAAACCTCTCCTCTTCTGACAATGGTGCACATCAGGTTCATACGTGATCCAGCTGTGCTTCCTGATAATTCAGTTTATTACTCAATGAATGTCATTTCTGCTCAACATGAGACTTTTGTAACCTGGTCCTTCAGTAAAGTCAGTTCAGAGTCTGTATGGAGACGGCATTTCAAGCATGGTTTATTGTCTTCTAAAGGACTTGAATATGGGATTACAAAACAGGAAGGTATTGAACATCTGCATCTGATCACATGCTAATGTTCATGAGAAGTGTGGACTACTCACCTAGAAAATCTCTCACACACATTTGCCATTTTATCTAAATCTAACAGGGTCCCCTAAATGTATGAGGGTGACACATTAGCATTGACAGAGCCAGCTCATTTCTCTAAGAGCCAGAAATTCCAGCTGTGTTCTCTGAGGAGTTCACCTCATGGTGCAAGAAGCTCTCTCTTAGTAACTTTTCTATAACTGCAAGAAAAAAACATGACCACCTATGACCAAGGATATTTATAAAGAAAGAAAGAACTTGCTTGAGGTTATGGTTCTCAACATTAGAGTCCACAATTTGCAAACCAAAACTTAGTGGCTGGAGCTGCAGTTGATGGCTCATAGCTTGATCCACAAGCAGGCAGCAGAGTTGAACACTGAAAGTGCCATGAGATTATAGAACGTCTAATTCTTCCCCCATTGACTCACATTCTTCAACCATACCACACCTACTAGTACTTCCCAAAGAGGGCCTGTATGAG